TTTATGAACACTTTATGAATGCTTTATACGTGGTTGAGATACTTGTTACACATCTTTACCAAACACCAAACACTGTACCTTTGTACAGTGGCGACCGCCGCCATGGTTTCAGGGATAGAGGGTTTCTGCCCGGAGATCGAAGATCAACATATCATGAAAGATACTACTTTTTATACCATGCCCTGCGCTCGGCTCGGTGCGAGTCAGTATACAGTGCTTGAGAGAGGTATTCACATAAAACTGCAGCATGGTATCTCAGTGGGCTTAGCACTATAAAGTACCCATGCACGCATGCACGCACGCACGTTCGCACGCACACACACACATCAATTTTTACAACCACTTCCTCCAAAAACGTTAAGATTACACTAAAAAATAACACTAAAATACTTGTAAGTATCTGCCGTATAGCAGGTAATCATTGTGAGCCTTCAGAAATAAAACACGGCGGTCTTTGCAGTTATCACAAAGACATATTTAAAGCTATCACATGAAGAAATGTATCGATTTAAATAAATATACAAGACGGATATATCATATGTACAAACTGAAATAACCTTCACACGTTTGACGCACACTTCCCTTCTTCCTATACTTAAGTTTCTCCAACAACACATTCCGAGTAGGATGTTGTATGGGCGTTGTACGAGTTAGTAGCACAAACCTTGTTACATCGATGACTAAGCTCACGATGTTCCACATCTTTGCAGTTATTTAAACCCAAATAGCCCGCAGCTGGTTCATAACAGAACGTATGACAAACATCGTATGTCATACGAATAAACTTAGTGTAAAGTGCAGATAGAGCTCTACCTTGAAGATGTACAGAACGCTTTCACTGCTTTGTACATATCAAGGTCCTCATTAATAGCTAATCCAAGGTAATTATAAGAACAATCGTTGTCAATAACATCAAAGGAGTCAATAAAGTATAACGGATTAGGTATTCCCTATCCACATTATTGGTCCTTGGACACGTGGCATCATTCCCTTCGCATGTCTGCACAACACACTCATTGAAAAGTTCAATGGCGGAACTTTCAATTTCAACAGCATAAAAAGCTTCCATCACCACATCTTGCACATCAGAAGTTGGCAGAAGAGGCATGGGACTCAGGCCAATAGGGTATGCACCGATCCACATACCAAATGGGAAGTAGGCCAATAGGGTATGTACCGGCCCACATACCAAATGGGACGCAGTCCAATAGGGTATGCAACGACCCACATAACAAATGGGACGCAGACCCAAAGGGTATGCAACGACCCGCATTCCACATTAAAAGCAGCCCATTAGGGTATGCACCGACCCACATTACAAATGGGAAACCGGCAAATAGGGTATGCAAAAACCCACATAAGAAATGGGAAACCGGCCAATAGGATATGCAGCGACCCGCATACCAAATTGAAAGTAGGTCAATAGGGCATGCAACGACCCGCATTCCAAAATTAAAAGCAGCCCAATAGGGTATGCACCGAACCACATTACAAATGGGAAGCCGGCTAATAGGGTATGCAGCGACCCGCGTACCAAATTGAAAGTAGGTCAATAGGGTAAGCAACGACCCGCTTTCTAAATTAAAAGCAGGCCAATAGGATATGCACCGATAATCATACCAAATAGGAAGCAGGCCAATAGGTTATGCACCGACCCACCCACCAAATAGGAAGCAAGCAAATAGATTATGCAACGACCAACATTCCAAATCGGAAGCATGTCAAAATGGCATGCAACGACCCACATACCAAATGGGACGCAGCCCAATAAAGTACGCACCGACCAACATACCAAATGGGACGCAGGTCAATAGGGTATGCACCGACCCACAAACCATATGGGACGCCGGCCAATAGGGTACGCACCGACCCACAGAACAACTGGGACGCAGGCCAATAGGGTATGCACCGATCCACATACCAAATGGGACGCAGGTCAATAGGGTATGCACCGACCCACATACCAAATAGGAAGCAAGCCAATAGGGTATGCAACGACTCTCATAACAAATGGGACGCAGACCACTTGTGTATGCACCGATCAGCATACCAAATGGGTAGTAGGCCAATAGGGTATGCACCGACCCACATACCAAATAGGAGGCAGGTCAATAGGGTATGCAACGACCCACATAACAAATGTGACGCAGACCAATAGGGTATGCACCGATCAGCACACCAAATAGAAAGCAAGCCAGTAGGGTATTCAACGACCCATTATTTGAACATTAACACTAGGAATGATATCATCTGGATGGCCGAGGTTTCACTCTACGTGTTGAATATATACTTCATACACTTTTAGGGACCGTACGGTTTGCTGGTGGTACTGATGAGCGCGAAGAAAGAGTCGAGGTTCTGGTTGGAAGTGCATACAGCACCATCTGTGATGGTGACTTTGATATCCGTGATGCTAATGTGGTTTGCAGAATGGCAGGCTTTGAGTATGTATTTTACTGTTATAGTCCCGTTGTACGTCGTCATAACAATTGGGGGCGGTCGGATAGCCTAGTGGTTAAAGCGTTCGCTCGTCACGCCGAAGACCCGGGTTCGATTCCCAAACATGGGTACAATGTGTGAAGCTCATTTCTGGTGTCCCCCGCCGTGATATTGCTGGAATATTGCTAAAAGCGGCGTTAAAGCATACTCAGTCATTCAATCAGTCAGTCATAACCATTGCTAAAGAAACTGAATTCCTGTTGATGTTTTATCAAGTTCATCCTTCTTCATACTTACATTCCAATTACATGCTATCTTAACATATGGTACCAATTAGTTTATCGATGCTCTGCGCTGTAATTGTAGTAATGTACAACTATTGTTTGTTTCCTTGTTTTACTCCTGAAGGTGGTGTGAAGTATTATGATCGTTCAAAATTTGGAGGTGGTTCAGGGGAAATCAAATATACAAAGTTACACTGTGTGGGCAACGAATCACATGTTGACGAGTGTATCAACAAAAGAACGGGATGTTATCATTCCGAAGATATCAGCGTCAGATGCTCGGGGAATTATCTCAAAGGTATATTATGCATTTAAGTACTTTTCAAGACCCATCAGTCCCGTAAAAATCCGGGTTAGCAACCCATGCTTGCCGTAAAAGGCGACTGTGCTGGTCGTAGGAGACGACTAACGTGATCGGGTGGTCAGGCTCGCTGACTTGGTTGAAGCATGTCATCGTATCCCAATTGCGTAAATCGATGTTCCTGATGTCAATCACTGGATTGTCTGGTCCATACGTCATCTAGCTGGAATATTGCCGAATGCGGCGTTAGACCACTAACAAACAAACCAATCAGAAACCATGACGTTATTCTTCATGTGCCTTTCTGATATCATATTAAACTTGCATTCTTTGTTTTTCAGCTCCCACCCCTGATACCCAGCTTGAATATCTAGAGATAAATGACACACTTGAAGGAATAGTTTTAGATGGGAATATTACTAAAATATCAAATGTGAAGTCTTTCTTCTCAAAGGCCAGTGGCTTTACTCTCTCCGAGTATGGGACATCCCTGCCCATCTTGGAGGGCAAAGAATCATCTTTCAGTGGTTTGCATTGTATTACTATACGCGGCAAAAAATAAACACACCAGATTGACTGTGGTTGGTTGTGTGCTATCTGGAAATCGAAAGTATGGACTATATTTATCAGCATATGGCCTCGTAACGCTGAATAACTGCACTGTTGCAGGGAATCTAATCGGGATGGGTTCCGAATTTTCCTTGTATTTAGTTATTGCCCTAACAAACAGTGTTGTGAAAAATAACAAAAGACATGCCACATAATGTCTTCCTGGGGGAGTAGGCACAGGCCATGAAGTACGACTGAGTGTCCTAAGAAGCAGTTTCATAGGACATGACACACGATACAGAAGCGTTATTAATATGTTTGGATTTGTTGGCATATCTCTGAGGTTACAATTTGAAGAAAATGTATTTGATGGCAATATTGGAAATATATTTGTATTCGAATATTACGATAATGCAGGAGGACTTACATTGATCATTACTAACAATATTCTCAGATTCTCAGAATAAGGTTAATCAGTCAAGACGGAAATAATGTAAATATCACATCAAATAAATTCATCAACAACATAGCCATTTCAAGTAGTGCTCCTATGATCGGAATAACTGATATTCAATCCAGTTCAGTAATAGACATCTCTGGAAACATGTTCATGAACAATAGTGCCTCTAGTATAATTCATATGCCAAAAGATGACAGTACATTTCAAACATTAAAATCCATAACAATTCAATGGTTCACAACCAAGTTCCCAATGTCCTTCTTATTGAAATATACGAAACAGAGATTCACAACAATTGTGTGAGCTTAAGGTGGCCCCATTCAAGAAAGATCGCGAGCATGATGCTAGATGGAACTTTTGGGGATTCACTGAACTCTCACAAATCAAGGACAGAATATGTGGATTTGACGTCAATATGGAGTTAGGATTTGTGTCGTACATACCTTATTTATTATCTAATACAACCATGTCTGAGGCCAAAGTGCTGCCGACTGATTTCTTAGAGATAGGAGCAGTTGGTGGGGTTGTGGAGGAGGAGATTATTCTGGACGGACAGTCCGAACCGTACATCATCGAGAGGTCAATAATGATCAGGTACGTCTGGGTATCATGTCATCTTTGAGTGACTGCACGACTTGCAAGATGTGCATTAACAGTAATAAAAAAGACCTGTTAGTCTTTTAATCTCAAGATCAATAGATGATGTTTCAGAGAATGTCATGAGCCTAATATATATATTTTTTGATTACTTTATTAACGATAATTGTAGGTTCTGCTTCAACTAATTCCTGAACGTAGTTGTTTTTTGTGCCGGATTTGACTCAAAGCCTTTGCAAAATCCTTATGGTCGCGTGTGCTTTATTATCAATTCTGAATAGACACGCCTACTTGATGCATATATGAATGTTCAGCGTATCAAACAAGAGAGTTATTTGATATCCTTCATCATTATCACAGAACCGGAGGAAAACTTGCTATTCATGCGGGAGTTAAGCTTCTCTTCATGAAAAAGAGAGGCATTTATACCTCTGGTGAGTGACCAAGCCCTGTTGCTATTTGACCTCAAGCTTCACACATCACCTGAACCTTTCCTCCTGTCCTATTCTCCATATAATGCATTCAGTAAGATTTAAAAGATATAAATTATTGAAAGCAGGAAACGTTTATCAGATTAGCTTTTGACAAACTAAATTGACTTCTGTGCGAAATAGGTACCTTTTGCTGTCCAACTATGTCATATAGTTTTAGATGCTTGTGTGAGCCTACATTAACAATGTTTGCATCTCGTTCATTCACTAGGATCTGTAGAGACCCTATCATCCAGCCCAGAGCGAGTTGTCCTCAGGAATCATACTGATGACCCCTGGCATGGAATCGTTTTCGCTCACACATCAGGTAATATCGTTATCAATCGACTGTGGTATACTGCATCTGCATCTACATCTGCATGCAAACCTGTACATTCCTCATGTGATAGACATATGTATGCAAGAAAAACAAATGTAAATATTGAACGTCTTTTATATAGAAATCTTAATTTGACAGGATAAATAATAATGTATCATACAACAAATTCATTCATGCTTATAAAATGTTCAGATACATTATTTCTGTCAATGTGTGCTAAATAGGATTTTTCATTTCAGGGATCATTTTACGAAATGTCAATATAACTGGATCACTTAACGGCCTGGTGACCTATACAGACAACATGACACTGTCTGACTGCAGTATCGCTCACACAGGGAGATCTGGGATGACGATTGGGTCTGGTGTAACAATGGTGAACATGGGGCGAACTGCTATTATTAAAAGTAAAAGCTATGGTATCACGATCCACTCAAATGCATTACTGTTACGTAATGGATTTGTGCACAACAATGCCTTGAGCGGAATTTACCATAATGGCAAAACAGGAAGTATTTTCCTGGAGGAAATGGACATATCCAACAATGGGAATTATGGTGTTTACGTGAACATGGACTCTTTCAGTGGAAATCACCATATTAGGCTAAGTAACAGCTTTCTTCATGATCATAATAACAAGTCTGCAATTCGCCTGATATCATTAAGATACTATAACGGCTACACAAACATAACAGTGGGCGATTGCATCTTCGACAACAATTATGGATCAGCTCAAATTTCAGCGGTTGGAGACGCACACTGGAATGACAGAAAAAAAGTTATTATGAGCTCAAATACGTTCAGAGGTCATTCCACTGTTGCAATTGTCACCACCGGTTTTAGTGAGGTATTGGTTACGGACAACAGGGCAAACAATGCCACGTCATATTCAAAATGTTTATTTGAAATAGACTTAAAGACGGGATCATGGAGCAGTCAAACTTTAGCATTATCAGTCAGATCCAATCTAATCAGTCATGTATCTGGTCTGTGCGCATTTTCTTTATCAGCGTTTAAAATCTCAAGTGGGTCCTTCTTGTTTAACCAGATATCACAATCAACTTTTACTGAAGGGACGTTCATTCTTAATCTAGAAAATTATACATTATCTGAGAACATTTTCGATAATCCAAATTCTGACTATGAGTTGAAAGTTACTAAACTGGGCAGTGGCTATATAAATGCTACACATAACTGGTGGGGGACGACTGACGAAGTTTTGGTCGAAGATAAAATTGTGGAACGATCTGCTGATCCAAGGCTCTTGAATGTTATACATCTATCAATATCAGTAAACCAGGCATTTGACTGTTCACAAGTGAGCAATTGCAGTGGCAAAGGAGAATGTGTTCGACCAAATGGATGTAGCTGTCTCCGTGGATGGAAGGGGGCGGACTGTACTGAGTTTGACTGTTCAGACCTCAGTGAATGTAATGGTGGAAGGTGTGTCGGACCCAACCTCTGCGAGTGTGCTGATGGATGGACTGGGAACGCGTGTGCTGTTGCTACCTGCTACCTGACCAATAACTGTTCTGGGAGAGGGTTCTGTGGAGAGCCGGATAAATGTACTTGTCTTTCCCAGTATAGAGGAAAATCATGTGAGTCCTGTGCACCAAACACATGGGGTCGAAACTGTGCACCATGTCCTAAGTGTCTACATGGCTCATGTGATACACAAACAGGTACGTTGTAGCAGCCTTTGTTTTTTTCAATTTACTACAAACAATCGATCCTCGTTGTACGGGACTTGTGGTAAACTGGAGAAAGGTTTGAGTTATCTGGGGTTCGAGACATCAGAGGAATGTAATGCTTAATTTGTATACTCGGGACTCCCAAATGAGTTCGAGACTACCTGGAATTCGACACATCCAAGTTCGGAACATCGAGGGTTCAACTGTACATGTGTTATAGACCACATGGTATGTACAGACTGTAATACTGGTTATATATAATGGCAGTGAATATTACTTTTTTTTAAAATGACCCTCACTACCTGTACCTTCTAATGGCGGATGATGTTCACCCGCCCCGACAACAAATACATCAATTAAAAAAGACAAATTACTATCAGAGCCAGCAATGTATTTTACTAACACACACACACACACACACACACACGCACGCACGCACGCACGCACGCACGCACGCACGCACGCACGCACACCCACACACACACTGATTTTGATTTGGACAAAACTGTCCACAGCAAAATCGCTGGGAACTACAGTACTGTTTTCGTTTGGACCGCCTCCGTGGTCTAGTGGTAGAGCGTCCGCCCGAAGAGCGGAAGGTCCGGGGTTCGATACCTGGCCGCGTCATACCAAAAGACGTTTAAAAATGGTACTTGTTGTTACCCTGTCTGGCGCTCGGCAGTAAGGGGCTAAAACAAGTACTGGTCGGATCGGAGTCAGCATACTGTGTCTGAGTTGGGTATTCATGTTAAAACTTCGGTATGGTATCTCAGTGAGCTAGCACTATAAATCGGCATCAGTCCGGACTAGTACAAGTAGCCACACACACAAACACACACACTCGTACATGCACGTCGCTATATAAGTGCAGTAATCGTGGACACGACGTTAAACCCCATTTCACCTCACCTCACTGTTTTCGTTTGTTGAAGGAACCTGTATTTGTGAGAGTCCCAATTGGACTGGCACCCTTTGTGCCCAATGCAGTGAAACATTCTACGGACTAGATTGCCTGCCTCTACAAACAGTACTGAGCGTATCCCCTGATGCAGGACCAGACGTGGGAGGAACGCCTGTCCATATAAGGGGACATAACTTTAAGTTCTCAAACACCAGCAATTACAAATGCAAGTTTGGAGCAGTAACCGTAGCTGCAAGGAGAATTAGTAGATAACATTACACGTGTACTTCACCTAAACTAAGCCAAAGCACAGTACATGTTGAGATAAGTTCAGACGGAGTGCACTTCACAAGCAATAAGGTAATGCATTTGAGGAGCTTAAAAGTTTTAGTAAAGCATTGTGACATGTTAGGCAACACATTTCATTTAGTTTATATACATAATGGCAAAAAGGTTTTATTGTATTTGTATAAGTGCATGTTGCTGGGTTTAGATCATCAGATTATGCCTAAATCAATATGCTTTTAAGTCTGCTCTGAATTAATGTTTTTATGTGTCTTCCTTAGCTTTGCTTCAAACCAGTGTCAAATTTATTGTTCTTGTAGCTCCGATCTGACATCATTTTCCTTCAATCACAGGTTTTCTACACATTTGTTGTACAATGTCCAACATCGGCTTGTGGCAGTACAGACAGTCCACCTCATGGTCAATGCCTGTTTGGACAATGCACATGTACTCTCCCTTGGACAGGAGATTCATGTTCAGTGGAGGCCGTACCGCCAGTTGTCAGTGCCATAAATGACTCACAGTTGACTGAGGGCCAGACCTACAAGCAAATGATGTCTCTTGTGCAGGTATGATTACCGTAGACACCTTTTAGTACACCAAGACGACGTCTGAACGAAAATACATGTATTTGGATATCTTTGTCTTCTCAAGAAACATGTTATCATTAGTGTTTATTATTATTATAAGAGTGACAACGAATTGATTTCATACAACATTTACAAGATCATAACATGCAATGTAAACGTATATATTGCCAGGGTAGCCATACAATTCGCTGGAAATTGATTTCATCTCCGCTGGGAATGACGATCGATCAGGACACTGTTTCGAGATAATGTGCATGTGGCGTTCATGTGTAACAATGGCGTTCATAGTCATCATATGAAGTCTGTGATATTTTAAGAGCGCACGTCATCCGGCTGATACTGATTTTCTGGAGCAAAAGCAGTGGCGCGTCCAGAGTATGATCTGTGACCCTAAGGTTGTGTCACTTACAGCTTACCTTGACACGCCAACAGTCACATTTCCTGCGGTTGCAAATCTTACAAATAATGGCTTGGACTCATTGGAGAATATTTCTGCGACGGTATGTTGACATTTACATGTTATTAGGTTCAGTTGAATTGAATGTGTCCTCAAAATAGCATACCTCTGACTTGTTACCATGCAAGGGTACATTTCTGGAAAGTGTTACATTGAAAATATGCGTAACATAATCGGTTCTGGACCGGTGCACCCATTGGTTCAAATTTGTTTTGTTGGCAGAAATACATGTGTCGGGTTTTCTTTTTGTTGTTTAACGCTGCACTCAGCAAAATACCAGCTATTTGACGGCGGCCTGTAAATAATCTAGTCTGGACCAGACAATCCGGTGACTGACATCATGAGGATCGATCCACGCAATTGGGATACATTGTAATGCATCAACCAAGCCAGTGAACCTTACCACCCGATCCCCTTAGTCGCCTTTTACTGCAAGCATGGGATGCTGAAGACCTATATCCTACCCAGATCTTCACGGGTCAGAGACATACATGAAAGAAGGTTATCACAGAATACAAGAATCCCTAATCACAGCATCCTGACTTATGAATATGGGCAACTCTTATCTACTCGTCACTATACTGTTGGAATATAAGTGTGTGGACTGAACATAAAACGTATTAACATTTCAGATTCAGAGTTATTCCTACAGTGTTGTCTCTGCACGGCTCCACTTTGGTGAACAAAGCACAAGTAAAATCACAATGTTACCTTCAATGGCAAGTGTGCAGAGTTGTATGTAGTGGTAGGCAGTGTGCGGGGCACAAGAACAGTCTTAAGAGTGCAACTAAATCTGAAAATAGGACGACCCCTTCTCAAGTTATCTCCATCCAACATCAAGACAGGTGCTGCAAGAGGAAAACAAACAATTTTCAACATTAATGTTACAAACACCGGTGAAGCAACAGCTAGAGATGTCAATATTCAAATCCCCAGTGGATTACTTTTGAAAGTGGCAGCCATATCTAAGCTACTTTCTTCTTCCTCTGAGAGGATGGATCTAGAACCAGGAGAAACAGCGACAGTGGTTTTGGTCTACACTGTGCCCTTGGACAGACAGCTAGGTGAAACGGATGGTAGCTTGCTGATCACCTCTAACGACACTTCGTCTACGCTGACATTTACATTCTATATAACTTCTGATGACCGCCATGACATTCAGGTGCTTGTGGAGGATGAGTACACCTACTTTGCAGCCGATAAACCACTGTTAGCTGAGGCCGTGGTGACACTGACACAGCCACGGAGAATGTTTAGCAAGACTTTCATCACAAATGAAACAGGTATCATTCATTATGTAGTGTAGTGAAGAATAACTCAAGTTTGTATCTCACTGAACATATTACTAAAACTTTGATTTTCATTCGTTAAAGAAACACTCTGAAAAGTGAAACCACATGTATTAAAGGATTATAGATTTTAACTATAATCTTATTGTGTTTACACTATTCATTGCCCCTTGTCGTGGATCGAGAGACACAAATATTGATGACTTAATTAGGTTTTTTTAATTTACACACTACATGTTATCATAAAAAGTGAGGTAAAATGTAACCATGGTTAAAACGAGATTTCTTTTTTGTAATAAATGCCGTATTCCTGTGTTTTATGATGTCACCCTATGTTAATACTTTTAAAGTCACAACTTTCCTTACCCATATGTGATGACAATAGGTGTATGTATGTAACTCACATTTGTATATTGATACTTCTAAAAGTGACTGTTGCTATCATTTACAATTTAACCTTTTATCCAAAGGCATTTTAAACTTCGATGGGATCCATGCAGACCGGTATACACTGCAAGTTGAAGCAGCCAACCACACATCAAAGTCTGTCATCATCGTTGTGGACGGCAGTACCTCGACATACAGAGTCTTTTTACAACGTACAGCAGTAACATACACGTGGTCTGTCACAAAGACAACCTTCGAGGACAAGTACACCATTACACTAGAGTCAACATTTGAAACAAGGGTACATGCATATACAGTATCAATCATCTCAAAATCAAGACTGGTACCAATATTTTGCTTCATGATCAAATAACAGAACGTGCAGATCGTATATGTATTTTAATACACGTGAACTAACATATTGCTTCATGACCAAATAACAGAACGTGCAGATCGTATATGTATTTTAATACACGTGAACTAACATATTGCTTCATGACCAAATAACAGAACGTGCAGATCGTATATGTATTTTGATACACGTGAACCAACATATTGCTTCGTGATCAAACAGCAGAACGTGCAGTATGTACTTTAGAGTCTCATAACGTAAATGCAAAGTCCATGAGCTATTTGACCCTTGAAGATTCCGGGGTAGAATAGGTCTTCAGAAACCCATGCTTGCCGTAAAAGGTCACTATGCTTGTCGTAAAAGGCGACTAACGGGATCGGGTGGTCAGGCTCGCTGACTTGGTTGATGCATGTCATCAATCCCAATTGCGTGGATTGATGCTCATGATCTTAATCACTGGATTGTCTGGTCCAGACTCGATTATTTACAGACCGATGTCATATTGCTGAGTGCGGCGTTAAACAACAAACCAACCAACCAACCAACCATGAGCTATTTGTAAACTTGCTGGTGTCTGTTGTCACCCTAGGACCTGCTTATGTCAACTTCATTCCGTGCGAAAAAGGACGGTTAACGAGAATGGTGTTCACTCTGACCAACCATGGCTTTATCCGTGCAGACAATGTGAGGTTTTCACTACCAAACCATCCAACTTAACGCTTTGTGCAGGTAAATACTGATAGGATTAAAATATATTATATTATCTATAAAATGTTATTATAAGAAGAGCATGCACATGCATTATGGTATAACTTGTTATATATGTTTACAACACACGAGATAGAGTGAGTTGCTCTGAACGGAATGTCACACTGAACGGAATGTCAGTTATATGAATACTTGTCAGCTTAGTTTGGGAGGACAGCTCAATGTTTGTTTGTTTATTTTGGGTCGTTGTTTAACGTAAAGCTCGAAGTGATATAGATCTTAGACATTAACCACGTTTGTAAATCCCTCGAGCCGGACAGGAGCTTAAAGACAAAGAATCATAAGCAGGCCAATATTGGATTCGAACCAACGATCATGTCATCCTCGCATGCCTAAGGGACGCAACTCTGCACTGCAAATTCCGGCGCTTTTGACAGCTGGGTCACCCGTGTCCCGTTTATTTTAGGACGCTCTGAACATGATCACTGATATTTGAAACAATATGTCTGTCAAGAAATACTTAAAATAATAGTTTTGCAATAAGTCCTCGCAATGAAATACTTTGGTCAGAGATAAATCTTTTAAAACTATCTCCTTTTTGGAACAATAACAGATTGAGAGGGAAGTGAGGAAATACATAATGTGGGAACTCGGACACGGGACCCCGCTTCCCCACTGCTTCCCCACTGCCCCCCAAAAGTTTGAAAATTTGTAATCGTTTAACATTATGTTATTGGTCATTTAGAAACTCTGTTCGTTGACATCTTTTTCACCCCTTTTGGCATCTCAAATCTTTTGAGAAACTACGTTCTGTACATATTCCAGGTTGTCGACCCGCTCGGAAATTTGGATGCGAACACGAGCATAATTGTCCCTATCGATGTGCTGCCTAGGAAGATAATCAAACGTTCTTCATCAACAGTTTGTGGTTTTACCCTGCTTTTTGACTATTTTTGTGGATCAGTAAAAACAAATAGTGCATTCGTGGGATTAACATGTGACTGATTTAGTGGAAGGATTCGCAGTGTAGGAGGACTATTGTCTAGATCTGGAGGTAATGTTATGAATGAATGAGTTTGAGTGTGGTGTCAATTTGATGCTGGAGCATAGTCCGAAGTAATATATGCTTTAATGTTTACCAGCTTGTTGTAACCCCTGAGCAAGGGCATTGCGCTGACAAAGCAAAAAACGTTACCAGAAATCGAATGGCTTTCTGACATGACTTTGGCACCCGGGTCTTGTAATTGTGTAAAAAAAAATAATCAATTTTCTTTTTCCTGTGTTCTTGGTAATACTATGAAGTCGCTTCAGTTTTCATATTTCTTTCTATCTGCGATCACGCTTTCATTCACTGGCATATTCATGCTAAAAAAAACAATGAATCAACGCTATGTTATATGTTTATGCTTTTTAGAAGGAGGTGGTTTCCGTCTTCGTGGGCACCAATGTACCCTGTGATTGTTTAAAAGCGTTGATCTTCGACTACATTAAACCACTTCTTCGACTCCCTCTTGAGCTGATACCAGGAGTCGGGTGTTTACTGGATCTTCATGACATTTCTAAAATCAACAAGTCATCATCTGCAGTCTGTTGTCACAACATTTGCAAGTTTTGCCCTAGATTGTGGATTTGGGCTTTCGTGCCCTGTCTGTCCCTTTCTTTTTAAATATCTCAAGGAAGTATCCATACACGATGTTTCCTGGTAAGAATAGGCTCCCAGGAATATATGCTTGTCGTGAAAGACGACTGTGGATTGGTTGGTCCATCTCGATGTAACCAAGCTGCACGGGGCGTTGCTCATGATATCAATTACTGGTTTGTCTGGTCCAGACACGCATGATTACAGGCCGCCATCGTATATAGATCTGATATTGCTGACAGTGACGAAAGACAAGTGACAGAGACGAGAAGGCCGGTGACAGAGAGTGGAATTTCCCCCCTAGCCTAATTTCCCCCCGGAAAAAGGGCTATATAGCCAAATTTCTCCCGGAAAAGGGGCTATATAGCCAAATTTCCCCCGGAAAACTGGCTATATAGCTATACTTCCCACGGAAAGCACACTATATGGCAATATTTCCCACCCGGAATATACACTATATAGCCAATTTTCCACTTTGGAGTCAGATTTCCCCCATGATTAAATATATGTCTATTATCAAAAGTACCTAGATGTACAGTTGGCTGATGGAGGAATTTACAAGAGAAACCATGATTAAAATCTTGTGTTTTTTTTGCTCCATACATTCTTAATTTTAATAAATAGAGGCTAGTTCATTTCGACAGCGAGATATGGCGGATCTGTCACTCGACAGATCAGATCAGCTTTTTGGCACTGACGAAATGATATGTTTTATTTATTATATATTTATTTAGTAGGGTATGTGTTGTTTTTGTTTTTTTATTTTGTTGTTGTGTATTTGAGGTAAATCAACGAATCGCTATATTTACAACGTATATAGCGCATATATCTGTGCGTGCTCATGGCGTTTCTTGCCCCGATCAGAGGTCCGTATATTTTGCATTCCAGAACTTCCCAGCTACATGTGAAATATGCAACCAAAGCTGCCTGTCAGGCGCTATAAGATTACCCATTCACATTACCATTACCATATTAACTCCTTGGTACCCATTTACTGTTTGTGGACAGAGGCATGCATGAACAAGGTCACTTGCCAAAGGTGACGCCGCAAGTTTTTCAACTCGTGTTTCAGTGGAAGATATATACGTGAGTACTGTTTCCGTCATCTGTTCATTCACCAAGTGATGAGCGGATTCTGTTTAGTGCCCAGGGTTGTGAACTGCAGGCTATGCTTGCGACAACACTTTTAGGACCTGTACTAATGTCAGCCCTTAGGTTAAATAACTAAAATAACTACAGTGGCTAGCAAAATCTCAGGATGCAAATTCAACAGTCTGGACTCTCTTTACAATCAACGTGTTTTACAGCTTGCAAATAGAATTTTAGACCAACCAAATCACTTTTTATACCCTTGTTATGACGTTTTACCATCTGGAAGAAGATATCGTGTACCTTGTTTTAAATCAAATAGAGCCAAATCTTCATTTGTTCCCGTTAGTATTTTATTTTTAAATGATGAACCAAGTCAACCTGTCTCTTAATCATTGTTTAATTCGTATGTGCTAGTGTTAATTCATATTTTATCTTCTTTAATAGTGCATATTTTGTTGCTTTATGTTATGCATGTATGTTCTGTGTGTATGTTTGTATGTATGGAGTGCTATGTAAGTTTGCATGGAGTGCTATGTATGAGTGCAGATATATGTGTTGGTCTGAAATTGTATTGTTCGTAATGAGTGTATGTATACTCTTTTCACTTCAAATATAATCCAAATTCCCCTCGGTGTAATAAAGCTTTATTCTAAATAACACTAACGGGGTTCGAACATGGGACCTCTTGCTCTTCAGTATAATAAAGGCGAAAGTGAAATTTTCAGCACCATTAAAACCATAACATTGGTGAACAGAATAACTATGTTAAAAGAATTTTATTCATTTTACTGAATACTAATGGAGTTGGAGTTCAAGCTGGTCTATTGCGCCAGAAACACAGGACAAAACTTTGTCCAGAAATTCTAAAATATAACTGTCTTCCACTGTTTTGGTGTTTGTTGATTCCAACACACCCTTAATCACTGCATTGTAGAAAATCACTGACGTGAAGTATTTACTAGTATCCAGCAACAGTTCATAAATAAGTTCTCTGGCATGAATAACAAGTGGCAAGTCGGAATCGTCTATGTTTTCAACACTAAACTTGTTATACAGGATTCCTAAAAGCTTGTTTTCAATTGAGACACGTTTAACTCCAATTTCTTTGTCAAATAAGGCATGCAAGAAGTTCGCTTTTGCCATTGCTGTTTGATCAATGTTTGTTAAATGGTGCAGTAGGTTATGTTTTTTAATACTGCATTGAAAAATCTGAGGGATATGGGGAAATTCTGCTATATAGCCATACTTCCCCTTTGTGTTAAGGGGGAAAATCTGACACTAAAGCGGAAATATGGCTATGTAGTCATTTTCCCCCGGGGGAAATTTAGCTATATAGCCCCCTTTCCGGGGGGAATTTAGGCTAGTGGGGAAATCCCACTCTCTGACACCGGCTGTCGTTAAACGTTGCTTAATTATCGCTTGAACTAAAACATATTTCTGATATAGACAACGATATGTCCAAAACATGACAACCCAGATACACAATCCGTTTCCTTCATAACATTCTAAAACTCACCAACGATGATTTAGCATAAGAGTGACCTTAATTCAGTCGCTCAGTATTGCATGCACAAAAAGTATACATAAGTGTTTCAATCATTTATTTCAGTACATATAGGTGAATTTCAAAATATAGATTTACGAAAAGGAACAAGCTTTCTTGGTACAAGTACAAGTAGAGCAATATCTGTGTAAAGGAGGTCAATCATAACAATCGTTGTCTCTTGGTACTAGTAACCACCAACATAGAGAAACAGATTACCCTATCCTTATTGTAAGACAAGACTTAAATGGAATTGCAATCAGGCTCTGTGACTTGATTTCATTGATCGTTGCTCCTGCTACTGGTTTGGCTGGTTCGCCATGATACAGCTGGAAAATGGTTTGCTGCTCCCTCTGTTCCCCAACGTAAGACTGTATTGTTTGTGGTTTCGTTCAAGCTGCCTGGATGCACTCTCCCGAAATTGTGGAGGTAGTGGACGAAGGCGGCGGGAGGTCAACTCCGAGCTTGTCCTTGAAGTGAACTTTGTTGATGTTTCAGTTGATATATTCGGTAATCTCAGTGTGTGAGTTATCTCAAGATGTTTGTTTATATGATATCTCCATTTAGACGTTTGGTAATCTGTTGATTATGTCTTTAGATATTTAGTAATTTTAGCATGCAAGTAATGGCAAGATCTCTCTTGATGTCTAAGTTGATTTACGGTAGATTCTTATATTGGCTCTGGTATTGGTATTTCATATCATCATAAATGTGATCATATATTCCAGTGTTGACATTAAAGGCGAGTGGAAACAGGCCTTCTTTAAAGGAGTTTCAGAAAACAGCCCGTCTCAATACCTCCTGGATTCCAGTGAGGTTGACATCATATTACTTTTGGTGCTTGAAGACGATCAAGCTATTTTAAATACATTTCTACAACGATGGAACAACACATTTTCTTCGTGGATAGACGGAAGATCAGGTCCGCCACAATCAAATGTTATGTCACTGAAAGATGTGAGGACCCTTGGAGACACCTTCATTGAAAATACAAGGACCGTTAAAGAGGTAGGTACACTTCATTTGTACATTCCTACCAGCTATTCGTTTTTGATACAAAAACTATCTGTAATATAGCTTTACAATTTCAATGTAACTTTTCTTGGCATCTCACAGAGAAATCGCAATTGTAACTCTGATGGTACATAACTATATAATGTCGTAAGGTATGTTTTTTAGAGGAATAAGATTTTAAATAAGATATATCAATTCGATTCCATGGTAAACTTAAATAATTGTGTCCATCAGATCTCTTAGACACTATATAGCGCATTTGCTGAAGGTTCGCTGTTTGTCAATATAATTAAAATCAGATCTTTTACTTTGATACAATACCTCTCTGCATGCTGAGAGGACGACATCTCCATCGAAAGTAGTGACAGGTGATCTCTGAACTATATCTTTGACCGCACAATCTAAATGCAGATTGCGTTGCTTCTTGACTCAAGCAGATGTCACCATTCTAAAACAATTCCGCTTCATTAAGTTTCCTTACTATGTTGATTCGGAAAGTCCTATTTTAACAAACGACAACCAACACCAAACAAATAGTCCTCTGATGGTACTCCCTTTTGTGGCTGTAATTGGTATGGCGCTCAGAAACGAGCTGGTATATTATATATCCTCAAGATAATGGCGCGACTTGTATTGTTTAAATTCGGAAAAAATCGTTTCTGAGACACAGAACTCTGTTGTGTTGGTCTGAATAAAAGGTTAGATGCATTGATGCCCGATCTGCTGATCAGAAACTCTGGAGGTGTCGTCGGACCTTCTCCCAATTGAGGCGGCGTATTGGAGTCACATATATGTGTTTTAATGAGTCGGGTTTCTGTCTTAAATTAACAACAGGATGTAGTTTCGTTTTATTGTGTTTCCTTGTATTGCTGAAGTTCTCGATGTCCCAGATGGGTACATCTTTAATGGTTTGCCAAGTTGAACCTGATACAGCTTGATCATTACTGAACATAGCGTACATGTCAATAACGCCATGATACACGTGTGTACTTTTCTTGTATTGTTTCAGAGAGGATTTTCAAGTGTTTTCCATTATTTTGGTTACTCAATGACCGAATGCCAGAACAGTGTCCAAGGGGTGAGTAAACAAAATGCATCAGGAGAAACAACATTATAAGTTATCAAGTGCAATTCTTTAATTAATATATATTCTATTTGCCTGGGCTCCCGTAGTGCCACTACACCAACAGATTGAGACAATGTCTGACTAATATAGTCTGTACCCTCTAGTTTATCATTAAGTTAATCATTAGCAGAGCACACAACTTTCTCAGTATGTCTCTACTCAACTTTATATAACACATTGTTGCGTTATCTGTGAGTATATTACTTGTAGTTTCGAATCCCGTTTACATAAAAAATACAGTAAACTACGTTTACAACGAACACGCTTATAACGAACTGACGGATGTAACGAACTTTATTTTGGTCTCTGCCATTTGCTGTATATATGCTGTATACGTGTATATGTTTTTTTTAAAATAGCAAACAACGATTATAACGAACTACAATTTGTGGTCCATTTGAGTTCGTTATAACCTTAGTTTACTGTATTTCACTACGACTCACTACGTATACGTATGAGTATTCAGTTGTTCGAGGACATGTTGTAAATGGATTGACACAGTTCAGTTAGTTTGTCATTATTTAAGCACAGGAAGTTACATCAGCATCCGACACCATAGTTCGTTTCCGGAGCCTAACTTAAAAACCGTGAAAGATTTTCCTTTCACACTTGCTACATGTATTAATCAGGGGCTGAAGTTGTTCCTTTTGTTCTTTGAGAACTTTTAAAAACAGTTTTCATGGAAACAAGTTTGACTTAGCTGAAATAGAAACTTTCATGAGACGTTTCACATACAAGGACCAAGTTGTAAACTGGTGCCTTTTGCTATTTAAGGATAATTGATTTTATATCTTTTCCGTTTCCATGGCAACAAGTTTGACTTTAACTAATATTCATATTGGTGTGTACCTGACATAGAAATACAAAGTTCCGAATCCCAATTCCATTGCATAGTTTTGATAGCTCAATAACTACTCTTGTATACAGGCAGACACATTAGAAAGAAATTCTCTCATCAAGTTGGACTTGATAGTCAGATGTAACAGTAACAATCAGATGATTTGTTTGTTCCGGGGGACTATTGTTAAACATTTTTCTCATTGGATATCTGTTGTATTTGTCGTTCTTAAGGCAAAACCAGAAGGAGGAATTTGTGCCAAAGTGCGAAAACGGATTACACAGAACCTTGTCTTGACCAGGGATGCTTTCCAGGCTCGATTAGAAATAGAAAATGGCGAAGAAGGATCTCTGGAAAAAATTGACGTGGACATTTTCATAACCAGAACAGGGGGAAACGGAGCCCTTGAAAATAACCTTTTCTCTATTGGTAAGATTACGTGAAGTCAGTTTTGTAAATCTTATGTTTAGAGTACAACATGGTTTAGGTAATAACATTAAAAGCTTCTTAAAGGCGAATAAGGGAAGTAATACTCTTCCAGCTCATTGTCAAATAAATCAAGTTGGTAATAACGGTAGTTTGCAAATATTCATTGATGTTGTTTTGTTTCACATTGTCATTGGGCGATTGTGCTTGTCTTTTCAAAACAGGTCAGCCAAAGTTAGAGGGGATCAGTGACGTGTCTGGAACTGGAACATTAGCCACCGGGGTCAAGGGTTCAGCTGACTGGTTCATTGTAGCTTACACAGGTGCAGCTGTGGATGAGGATGTCAACTATGATGTTGGAGGAACTCTGTCATATTTTGTAGATGATAAGGAATTCAACGTCCCCCTTCTACCAGACACAATAACGCCAAATCCAAGTCTAACACTTGCCTACTTCCATGAAAAGTATGTGCAAGGCGATGACCCTATGACGACCCAAGTGGAACCCGTGGTTCCGTTCCCCCTTGCAGTAATGGTAACTAATAAGGGTAACGGGATTGCACGACAGGTAAAAATATCCTCTGGGCAACCAGAAATCATAGAAAATGAAAAAGGATTGCTTGTGTCGTTTAAAATCACCAGGGCACAACTAGGGATGGAATCCATTCAACCATCACTAACTGTTGACTTTGGTGACATCGTCAGCCACGAGACCAAAACAGCTCGATGGTGGATGACGTCAACACTTAAGGGCAGGTTTTACAACTATTCGGCCACATTTGAAAATATAAATCCACTGGGTGATCCCCAGCTGTCTGTGTTTGATTCTATATCTTACCATGACATGATTCATCAGGTTAGAATTGATAGCATAGGTGCAGATGGCTTGGATGATTTTCTTGTCAATGACGTTGTTGACAAGGACAATCTCCCCGACAGACTCTATGACAGCTCTAATGGGTTTTATTCATATCCAGTAGATTCTGTATCAGCAATTGGATTTTCTAAAACAAAGGAGGAGTTCGGAGGTAGGAAGAAATATATGTATGTTGAGATCTTGGTTCAACAAGTAAATGAGTCGTGGGTATATGTTCGGGTCATCAATAACACAACGCGAGATTTGTCATCAGAATCACTGCCTAAAGTTACTAAAGATGTTGGTAAGAATATACTTATTCCTCAGAATTCCTGGCTTACTTCTTATTATAAGAACAAATTTTACTTCCATCTGTTTGACAACTATACTAGCCACATAAAGAAACTGTGCACGGAGAAAATATATTCTGGATTGAAATACAACACAGCAAGAACAAAATGATGCAGACGCTGTAGCAGCTGAATGGTCGGACCATAAGAAAATGTCAATGGGACCTGAACAACATCTGTTACGATGACGTCAGAAGATCAAAATGGAGTAAAGGGTCAAACGACAAAGTCACACAGTCAATAACGGGTATGACCACCATGTGCGTGAATCACAGCAGTGCATCGGCGACGCATGGAGTCAACCAAATGGGCATGGAAGGCCTGGGGAATGGCCTGCCATATCCTCCTCAAATCCTGTGCCAAGTCACGGACGTTATCTGGAGGATGTGGAAGACGACGCAGACGGCGCTCCATTTCATCCCACACATGCTCTATTGGGGAGAGATCTGGAGAAATTGCAGGCCATGGCAGTAACATGACATTGTTATGGTGAAGGAAATCCATTGCGACCCTAGCCGTGTGAGGACGAGCGTTGTCCTGTTGAAATGTCAATCCCGGGCCATGACGTTGCAGGAAAGGAATGACCACAGGCCTCAGAATCTGATCTCTGTAGCCAACACCGGTGAGACTGCCCTGAACAACCACCAAAGGGGTTCGGTGCCGTGCTGTTATCCCACCCCAAATCATCACAGAGCCACCTCCAAAACGATTCCTCTCCACAATACAGTTGCGTGCATAACGTTCTCCCAAACGCCGGTAGACACGTTGGCGCCCGTCACTGTGGGAAATGTTGAACCTCGATTCATCTGTAAAGACAACATTTCTCCACCATATTCGAGGTTGGCGAACATGATTTCGACACCATCTTAGACGGTTGACTCGATGACGGTGTGTCAGGATAGGACGTATGGCAGGGCGTCGTGGTCGAATCCCGTACTGACGTAAACGATTCCTGACAGTGTTGGGATGGATACGGCGCAGTCCAGGAATTGTCTGGGACTGCCGTTTGGAACCTGTGTCGGAGATGTATAACTCGAATCCATCTGTCCTGTCTTGGCGTCGTTACTCGGGGACGTCCTGAACGTGGGTGGTCGGCAACGTCATTTGTGTTCTGATAACGCCTCACCAATGCCGATTTCGTGTTACGATGGCATTGGAAATGTGTTGCCACCTGTTGTTGCCTCATTCCCGCTCGGATCATTCCATTGGCTTCATGACGCTGTGCAGCTGTCAATCTTGGCATGATTTGCTTGTGTCTGCGCCTGAGAAGTTTTGAATTTAGAATGACCACAGATCATGCTTTCCAAAGTGACAGCGAATTTTGATTTGCACATGCTGTGTACAGCTGCACAGGATGCACGTGCAGTAACACATTGCACGTCCATTGGCCCCCATCAATGACGTCATATCGCATGGCACGTGCATGAGCGTTTGAATGTCTCCAATAATTGCTGTGTTCAAACCTATCTTTCATATATGGACGGTGTGCCCTTATATCTATATTTTATCCGTGCACAGTGTCTTTATGTGGCTAGTATATAACCACCAGTCTGTTTATAATGCTGTATTTGGTCCGAAAAATACATATCCACCAGTATTTCAAAATATACCACACACTTTAGAAATATCTCCCCGTGAGCAAAACAGTGATGTCCTGACCGCGAAAGCAACAGATCTAGACATGAATAATGTATCATACACCATTGAAACGGTAAAGCATTTTCTGTCGATGGGCAATCCGGGGTTGTTAGAAATTTAGTGCCTCTAATAGACGGGCACAGCTTCAACATCACAATTCTTGCATTCGACAACGGTATTACTATAAATTCAGCAAGTACGAACATAACCATAACAGTATCTACATTAGATTCTACAGAGAGCACACCTTCTATTACCATGACTAAAGATATAACATCGAAAACAGCTTCTACTACGCCATCAGCCTGTGTTTCTAACGACACAAGAGGCCTAACTTCTGCTTCACCCACACGCATTTCTCGTGAAGAAACATCATCATTATCAACATCAACACCATTCACTACTGGCACAAACATTGCTTCCACACCAGACTCACCTGTGGCAGGGCGTGGTGTGATTCCTGCCGCCATGTCCTTGTTACTTTTTCAGTTCCAATTTAATTGTTAACTCCATGTTGTCATTCCATGAACGTTTTGTTTTGCATCAATGTTTCTAGAAATATGGGGATCGAACCCAAGGCAACATGAAAGCCTTCAAAAACAAATTAGATTTAGAAGTATTTGTTCATCGCAATGTAAAATGTATCGATATTGATTGGGTACATATAGAGATTATCAAGCTGTCATTATTTCAGTTTATTCCAATCTGTCATACGACAGCTAATAGTTGGAGCAGTTCTTCTATTCTCTGCTGAGATGGGAACTGTTTAGTGTGTGATGACTTTGTACATAAACATGTTTACATTAACATACTACGTTTATAACATGTCGCGGTCGGTGATTTTGAAAATTGTTATTATTTTTTCGGGGTACATTTTGTCTTTTATGTTCTTAATTAGATGTGGAGTATCTGTGTAGTATTTATTCTGTGGGCACATGCATAGGTATAAAACCGAGTATGACTTTATTTTAACGCTTAAGTTGACAGAAGCGCGCAGAAATAACATCACAACCACAGAGATGTAGAACGGTTGACGTTGAAAGGTATCGAACAATCTGTGCAGTATGAACTGGGTACATGTGGGTACTAATGGGCTATAAAATCATAGGATCTCCGTTCCGACATATGCTGAAACGCCCTCGTAACGTTCACACGCGACGTCATCACGCTGAAGGTCCACAGCGGTGTAATTTGATCATGTAAATACTACTTGGGTAGGACATTGTTTTACTCGTATTCATATATATTAACTTGTTTGTTGGTGGATAGTTTCATTCGTGTTTGATTTACAAACGTAGTTACAGTTTCACGTATCAATGTCATTGTGTGATTTAACCCACATTTACAGCTGAAAGGTCCTTCCGTGTCTTGGTTTTTCATTATTCAAATATCCATAACCATGTTATTTGATACTGAAACATGTTTCAGTATGTATTTTATGTTGCACATCTCATAATGTATGATGTGACGTTGGATTTAGCATTGAGACAAGATACTTTTCAGCTTCAGCTGCAAAACCAGTTAATTTCTTATAACTAAAACTGACCTAGCAACCATGTTATCTCTGTGTTATCTCCTTTTCTCAACAGCCTGAAACATAACTTCTATTGCTTGAAGCAATTTCTGGGATATTATTTTCCATAAAATCGCAGTACCCATCCTCCTCCCGGCCCGAATACCAAATGGTCCGTCCCTGACAGATAACAACATGGACAAACGCTGTTAACAAGCATATATGAATTTGTTCTAGTGCACTATACCATCGACAGGGTGTAAGTAAAGGTAGGGGCATCATTACAATATCCCTTGATTTCAACCATATCAGTCATCAGTTGATATAGGAAATGAAAGCAGGATAGATTGTGGTTGAAGAAGTTTATTTTTCCGAGTGGTCATAATAGATGTTGGTTTAAGTTATGAATGAGTGTTATTGCTTCATTTGCCTGAACTGGATTTAATAAACGATTTGATTTACCTTGCTAGTCATGTATAAAATGTCACACATTTAACAACTTGTGCTTGTGTCAATATTTCTTTTTCTGAAGTGCAGTGTCCTCCATTTACTGTTTCACCCGTGTTCATTCATGAAGTACTTACAATTATGAATTATCTTGTACTCGTGCAAATGAAAACACGAAAAACAAAACATTGGTTCATTTCATAACTTGACATTAAACAGTAATTACCCACTATAGAGAGACAGGATCATCTCGCCAGCCATAGAGACATCTATTACAGGGGCCATACAAGCTGAATTCGATCTATCTAGAATACTTGACCACAAACTTAGAGCATATTACTTCCGCATTCCCTCCAGCCCCTAACCAAGGTGATATCATAACGTTTCTAAATAAATATTTATGGTATTGTTTGTGTTTGTTGCTAACGCTGCACTCAGTAATATTTCAGCTACATGACGAGGATCTGTAAATAATCGAATCTGGACCAGACAATCCAGTGATGGACATCATGAGCATCGATTACGCAACTGGGACACGATGGCATGCATCAACCAAGTCAGCGAGCTTGACCACCCGATCCCGTTAATCGCCCCATACGGCAAGCATAGTCACCTCTTATGGCAAGCATGGGTTGCTTCATGGTAAAAAAGAAAACCTGACAACTGCAAACCCAAATATAGACATGGGATAAGATTCCATCAGGTGTAAATAAATTGCAGAGACACATTTCTCCCGGGGAAATGAATGCACGTTGTAAGCGACCAGGCTTTTATATGTAGGACAAACTAATTCTCATTGTCTGATTTGTAATATCACTGAACAGTAGGAAAACAGTACACAAGATGCATAAGACAAGACACGCATGCGTCAAATCAGTGTTCGTTTTATCCTTACGTTAGCAAGAGGCAGGTGTCTTAACTGGTACTGAACTCCGGCCAGTGCCTATAATGGTATGCATATTTATAGTGTAAACATCTAAGACAGCAACACCAAATATAATATAGTGCCGTTCGAAGTCTTTTATTGCAACCAATATTTAGTCAAGTGGAGAGTTAGCTGTTTGAAATTGTCGTCTGGTACATTATTGAGACCATTTCTGGATTCAAATCAAAAGATTTGCCGATCGCCGTCAAAAACGTAATTTTAGAAATTTAAAGTATTTTGTGCATTTATTCGACGTTATGTACAGTTAGGATCCATTGAAATACTCTACACCTCCACATGGACGTGTGAGAAAGGTGACACTCGACGCATTACACGACATCGTCCACTTTTAAGGTTGGTTAAGTGGAACAGAACGAACAGAGATTCGGGACATCTTGGAAAATTTATCTTTGGAATACATTAGGATTCTTTATGGGACAGTCGCAGCTCTCTATGTGACGATTTGGCCATCTATATGAGACATTTTATCTATATGAAGGATTGAGTTAGATTTTACGCCGCTGTGAACAGTATTCCAGTCACATCAAGGCGTTTCCCTGTAAAACAGATGTCGTCTATACGTGAAAGATATGATATCTATACAATGTATATAGAACATTTTTATATAAATGAGACTTGTTTTCTATCTAAATTGGGTGTCTTATTTACTAGTATTTGATACGTATATTGTTCACATTATACAGCAGCAAGTTAATGTTAACGCCACACTATTCCAGCTATATGACGGCGGTCTGTGAAAAACGAGTCAGGACCAGACAATCCAGTGATTGACATCATAGGTGAGGTGAAATTTGGTTTAACGTCGCGTCCAAGATTATTGCACTTATATAGCGACGTGCATGCACGTGTGCGTGTGTGGCTGCTTGTACTAGACCGGACTGATGCCGATTTATAGTGCTAGCCCACGGAGATACCATGCCGCAGTTTAACATGAATACCCCACTCAGACACAGTATACTGACTCCGAGCCGACCAGTCCTTGCTTTAACCCCTTAATGCCGAGCGCCAGATCTAGACGATTGACATCTTAAGCATCGACCCACGGAATTGGGATACGATAATAACACAAGTACATGTGGAGACAACACCAAGTAAACTTGCCTGAATATAATGTCTACCACAATCGTTCTTGAATATCACAGTCTTAATATAAATTATCAAAGCTTGACAATGTAGATTTATGATTATATAACCATTCGAAATGTCAAAGTATATACTTAAAAAGTCTTTGAATATGATTCATGTGATATGGATGTCATGGTTGATGACGATGATCACGTGGACGATAACGACTTCGATGTAGATGAGGGAGATGAAATCGGTCGTGTTGATGTTGATGTTGTGATGACGTTGTCAATGATGTTGTGGCTCTACCTTTTGTCGCGAGTTCTTGCCGACGATGTAATTAAGTGGACAGAGGCGGTGAAGATGGTTAAACACGATTTATTATCTGTGAAAGATATAAATGGCATCACTATCATTTGATGTTCAGTCGAGGGAGCAAGAAGGTCTTCTCTCGGCTGTGGTGTGACAAAAACTCCAGAAAATACAAGAATTTAGCATATAATAATTTGATATTGTAATATATTGCTAAAATACAGTATTTTAATACAATTACGTTGAATAGAATAGCTAAATACAATATTCGAACGCTGTTACTTTATATACATTGAATGTACAATGGGTGCTTTTGGCGGCACACGTTAGGTGTGACGTCACAACATTAAAAAGTAGCATTTTAATGATATTTTATGTAAAACTATAAATAAAATAATTATATACATGATAGAAATGAAACTGAAACATACCTTTCACTCATAATCTTACTTACGGGATGGTGCCTTAACCTAGTGTTTGAATTGGTAATCGTGTGCAACGCGATGCCTTTGACCGAGTAGGATATTCACAATTGATTACATTTTTTATTTAGATTTAGATCTACGATCGCGTTACCTATTCTATTGACTAGCTCAGCATGAAGAAAGCAGATATAAGAGGATGCATACCTGTAAAAGATATAAATGGCGTCAATATCAATTGATGTTCAGTCGAGGGAGCAAGAAGGTCTTCCCTCGGCTGTGGCGTGACAAAAAGGGACATTTGAAAGTTTCAACGTCACCTCTAGGTTTGCGCACAAGATACTGCTGGATAAGACAATCGGGATTAGGAGTGAGAGATGAAGCGTACGTAAAAGGAAATAGCTATAAAATACCGTTATACATACATACGTACATGGACCAGCGATGGCCTCAGATATTAATCAAAACACGAGATGAGAAAATATTCAAGAATACCCTACAATCACAGATGGACGAACTCATCAACTCATCAAAATTCGAATCCGCTTCAAACTGACCCTAGACAGTGAAATATCAACGAATCAGCCAGTGATACTTTAACTGTTTAACTTTTTGACTTATTGATTTGTGAAAGACTTATGTTTTTCTTGACATTTAGTGATTTCATCGTCATGATGTACCTTCGTGTGATGGGTGGAACCCTGTTGTGTAATTGTTGAAATTTTAGTACTACATTGTTGAACAGTGATCCTGTTCATGAGAATGTTTATTGTAATCTTCATTCACTCGAAAACAATGCATCCAATGATGATGGTGATGAAGATTATGATATGATATGATACTCAATTACCAATTATTGGTCTAATTCATAATTTGGGACAATGTTTAACTAGTGTTTGTGTATACAACATCTGTGGACAATAGTGTCATTGCAAACAAAAGTAGCGATTGTACATGTCATGTTGGGGTCTTTTTTAGACAGGGTTGATTATTTTTGTGTTGACTGAACGACCAATGGATACTAAATTTTGGTGACGATGTCAATATCCAATGTTGGGTGTTAAATGCTAAACAAACATCATTGTCACTGTTCACAAAAAGTGTAAAAAAAATGAGTATAATAACGAAGGTGTATGTTATCTTCCTGATAACTGACTGGGTGCGTTATCCTCTTGATAACTAAGTGTATCATATTCATGTTAATTAAGGTGTATTCTGTTGTCATGTACCATATAATTAAGTCCAGGTTGTTATGTTCCGGATCGTTCTAATTTTTCATTGTATAAGTAAAATGTTGTTCTTTATCAGGAATTGTGCAGTCACCCAGCAATCGTTAAGTCAGCTCTTATGATTTCAACTTGTATTAATTTTGTCACTTACATGGAACAAGGACATTTTTAAATGTAAGTATTTATCTCACACTATGAGGATTATGCTAACGTTGCATTTTTTTTTAAGACTTACGATATCAAACATCTAAAAGTTGATACATGCTTGCGTGTTTAGACATTATATATTTGTGATGTTTCAGTTCGCTATTGCACATGGTGTGGTTGTAATCTTGTTTACCTCCTTTTCTTAAGTAGTCGTAATGGGAATAGTCGTCACGGAATAGTCATCATGGGAGTGAACTGTCAAGCAATGCACGTTTTCAGATTTAATTGAGGTTTATGATTTTACATTGATAATATGGAAATTCAACTCAGTGTATTTTCGCTTATGCAAATTATGTTCTATCAATTAGTAAGCACGCGTATATTGTTGAGTCTATCAAACAGTCTTCTTTGAAGATAATATTGTTCTTGTAGGCTACATCTCTGGCTCCATTCCTTGCAACGTCTGAATTGCCGTTCCAGATTGCAGTCATCTCACCGTTCCTTAAGTTCAAATGACCAGTGCGGCTTGCTGTGGGAATTATTTTTTCTGTTGACATCTGAAGAACGTACCCTCTTCTTATGGCTTCAGTTTTATCCAAAGCATCCATAACCAGCAAAGCAAACTGATTGTAGGCTTGATTGACTTATTGTATTACATCAACACTGTGTTGTTTCCTGTCAATAGCATTATTAAAGCGCATATATTTCTCGATACTTTTTTCTATATTTCATAAATTAACCTTAACAGAGGAATTCGTTATATTGGCAAGTTGCGGGCAGAGACCATATAATAGATATATAATATATAATATAGACTATTATGTGGTCTCGTTCCTATCGCCGCTAGTCAAGTGCAGCTGCAGTCACTTAACAAGCATAACGGGGAGCGTTAAATTGCGTAACCACAGATTACCACAGATTACCGGGTCAGCGCGCACCGGACGTACGTGACAAGTCCGCAAACATCAATTTCGGCACCACTCTTTCTTCTTTCTTAAATGCAATGGTCAAACGCTAAAGAGTAATCCCTTCCCAGTAGGCATATAGGATTTTATATCGAGATAGACATTTTCTCAGGTATACCTACAAAAGCAGATATTTTTTTATTTATTTAAAACTATGAGCCTGATTTTTTGTGAAGAAAAACACATTGCAACAATGTATTTTTTGTGGCAAGTTCTTTTTTTCGAGTAAGGGTATAATTTATTTTTTTCGAAAAAATGCCTGCCCGTATCTGTTCGAGATTGCAGATCATCTTTCACCATACCAGTTTCTTCGCCGAAATTACTCGTAATTAAATTTATTCGTAATTATCACCTCCATCTCACTTAGTCTGGTATCAACTTACGGTTTGAGTTGACCGAGAGCATGTAAGATGCATCGAATATTGTACTCAGAGCTGTTACCTTCAGCAGGTGTCCAATTGTTGTCAAGTTTCGGCTCGGCTCTCTCGTATTAAAGATCTCTGATCTTTTCATTTTGGTTTTTTCGAGCGCAGAATGTTAACAAGAAGATGAAGAAGCGAGACTTTCCCTGTGCATTTCACCATGCATGTAAATTTCCATTAATGTATACTTGGTAAACTACGGTAATGAAATTGATGACCGGTACTCCTTTGTACTCGTTTTATTTGCCTTGTACCTGGAACATTACATCCCGCGTGTACGCCCCTCCTGGTCCCTGGAGCGCCACCATGATTGTTCCACCTGCTCAGCAGATGTTGCGCTCACGGGCGAAACCGTCATCCTTGACATTGCCTCACTTGCAAGTGAATCAACTTTGTTAATCCCTGCAGCGTGCCATGTAAGGGAGGACAACCCGTGTCAGTTGTATGAATTAATTAAGACACGGACATCGTACCACAGAGCCATCTTTGTATTAAGGCGATAGCAACTTCTAATTGTGAACACGGACTTACGATTTGATAAGGTCCTGGTCTTCTCTCTGACCTAATTAATAATAAATGGGATCAATAGCTCAATGGATCTGTTCATGTTTTGTTAACGTTTTTGTGTCAACAGTGTAGGAAAACATCGCGTTTTGAGCGTTTTTATCAACAGATAAAGAAAATACAGAAAAGTAAATATTGCTATGTCGAAGATGTTATTTGTAAATATTTATCTTCGCAATTATCTTACACTGTAGCACGCTAGACTCAGAAAAAAATATCTTTGGGGTAATCTCTCCAACGAGGGATTAAACAGGGCACTGCCTTCTGTAAATATAAGTCGTTCTGAATGACACGTTTCATTATCAACTGGTTTCATAGGAACGTTGGGATACACGTGGCTGATGGTAAACGCCGCAAATTGCCTTAGGCGTGAAAGGAAACTGCGATCTTTGGAGTGATCATGTTTCTAGATTTGACCTTCGTTCGTAGGTTTCACCAGGTAAAGGCATTGCTTCACGTCGGACGTACCTCGCAGATAAAAGTGATATGCCGTGGTGTTACTAAATACTGTTCAAATATTATTGCCATCGGTTTCATGATCTTGAAATATTTACTAACTTTGACGTTGGCATCATTTCACTCAATGTATAGCCACTGTATAATCGCACAAATAAACATTAATATGTACACATTGAAACATATGTAACCTTAGGATCAAAGACGATTATATATTGTACCATATACTACTCAACGTTTGCTAAGTGTTAAATACAATTGTCGTACAAAATGAATGTTATAAATTTGTTATTCGTGTATTGAGACAATATGCTGTATTACAATGTGACACTTACACCACTTACATTCGGCTATTTCCGTCAAGCCTGGAAAAAAGACACTGGCCTAGTCAATCTTACATTCGGCTAGTTCCGACAAGCCTGGAAAAGGTTGTGCCAGCGCCCTCTGTTGGCAGATTGCACTTACTCTTATCTGACAGTCCACTGTAATTTAGGTCCATGACACTTTTTATCTCTTACCTGCCTAGGCTTCTTTGTCAATCTTTATTACCCATTATGTATAATAGCTTAGTCAGTGGGGACTCTCCTCACTGCGTAATCCTTTCCCAGTATCTCCTTAATCTGCTCCTGTTGAATCACAAGTTGTAATACATGTATGTTGGTTTAGTGTTTACTTCGTGAAACTGTATGAAACGTTTAACTTCATGTTGACCCAAAAGTAATGCATGCGATAGTTTGAATTTTATTATACACACCAGGAGACATAAACAGAACATCAAAAGTACCTCACCTGACAGATTCTTACATAAATTAACCGCCGCAAAACCAAATGAAAAAGGGGGAAGTTCAAAAGTTCAGTTAAGGATAAGAATCTTCAAAAATGACACAATTTATGGCTAATCTTTACTTTACTGTAATGGCGACGTTTCGGTTTTGATCCTTATACCGTTGTCATAAAAGCATAACAATGTTAATGCCTTAAGCTCTGAGACATAGTCCCCACACTCACCCCCTCCCAGAAAAACAAAATCAAATATTGATTGTGAAAATGATGAGATTATTTCATCAATCGAAGACTGCTTCTCACGATTTATAAATTATTTATGTGTTTTACACCGCTTTTAGCAATATTCCAGCACCATTTAACAGAAATGGGCTTCACAAATTGTAAACATTAGGATCGAACTCTTTAACCACTAGGGTACATCCCGCCGCCTAGGTACTTTTCACCTGGGTACGTTTACACCTACGGAGATGTGGTTCATTCTCAGCGAAAAAACAACTGACTTCAAAATATATCTCATGTAGATTGTATAATTTGGGGACCCGTGAAGATTCCGGGGTAGAATAGGTCTTCAGCAACCCATGCTTGCCGTAAAAGGCGACTATGCTTGTCGTAAAAGGCGACTTACAGGATTGGGTGGTCTGGCTCGCTGACTTGGTTGATGCATGTCATCCATCTCAATTGAGTGGATCGATGCTCATGATATCAATCACTGGATTGTCTGGTCCAGGCTCGATTATTTACAGACCGCCGTTATATAGCTGGAATATTGCAGAGTGCGGCGTTAAACAACAAACCAACCAACCAAATATAATTTGGGCGGATGAAAAGCTCGCAGAACTCTTTTAAACCCCCACACTTCAGGATTTTAACTTTTTATCCGACATTTGAACTTTCTACCTGTTCCCTACTTTAAATTATGTGACATTATGTTGTTGGAAGCAAGGAGTCACGTGATGACATCCGCACACTGAGCACGTCTCCCACAACTGATAAACAGGAAATGCTCTGTGTGATGTCTGGACTATAGTCACTTCCAGCTCAGCATAGAATCATAGTCAACGCTTGTTGTTCATAAACATGTTCACACAGATATGATTCCTTTTACAAATAATATGTTATAGAGCTATATATGCCAGGGTAGATTGCCTCTCTTTATCTTTAACCAGCATTTGAGCAGCTCTGTATCAATGAAGACAGAGTTGACCTTCATGGAGTTCGACGTCTTCATTCTCTCAATTCGACGTTTCGGTACAAGGTGCTAGTGCGATCACTTGTTTGATAAAGGTACTGTAAGTTGACATCCACATGAGTCAACCCCACACGTGAAGATTAGAATAGGTCTTTAGCAACCCATGAGAGGCGACAATATGCATGTAGCAAGAGGCGACTAACGAGATCGGATATGGTCAGGCTCGCTGACTTGCTTGTCATCGTATCCCAATTGCGTAGATCGATGCTCATGATGTCAATCACTGGGTTGTCTGGTCCTGACTCGATTAATTACAGACCGCCGTTAAACAACAAACAAACAAACAAACGAGTCTTCACACCCGTTGTTGTTGTGAGATATGTCCCCGAGTAGCTACCGTAGATCCTGTGCCCGTGACATGCCTGAGTAACTCCGGGCCTCCCTGTGCCTCACGCCTGGTGGCGGATGTTGTCCCGGCGTATGTAAGACGCAATTCCCAAATACCGAGACTCTTGCGACATACATAAGAAATGAAGCGGAGCCTAAAACTGCCATTGTGAAAGCGACAATGATGGGCGA